TGTCTTTTTTATTTGTTTAAATGTTTTATTTTGAAATAATTTCACACTTAGCAAAGTTGCAAAAATAGTACAAAGATGCCTCGTACACCCTTCGTCCAGATACTTCTGATATTGGTCTTACCATGTATGCTTTCTATTTATGATACTCATATAACTATATATTTTTCTGAAGTATTTAAAAGTTGTGGAAAGGTTGCACCTTATCCCTAAACATGCCACTGTATATTTCCTAAAAAGAAGGACAGTCTCTTTTATAACCACAGCACAATGATCAGAATCAGGAAATGAACAAATTTGCCAATTGTCCCCGTAATGATCTTTACAGCAAAGGAATTTTCTAGTCCAAGATCCAATTACACATGGCATGTCTCACTAGTCTCCTTTAATCTGTAATATTTCTTTAGCTTTTCTTTGTCTCTCATAATCCTGATGTTTTGTCGGATGTCCCTCTGTTTGGGTTTGTCTGATTACATTCAGATTATACATTTTTGGCAGGAAAAAGTGTGAGAATTTTTAATTGCAAGCATGTAATCGTGTTGTACTTTAGAATTGTCGTTTATTTGGGCTGGCCCGTGGCTCATTTGGGAGAGTGCGGTGTTGATAACACCAAGGCCAGGGGTTCGGATCCCTATATAGGGATGGCCGGTTCGCTCACTCGGGAGAGCGTGGTGCTGACAACACCAAGTCAAGGGTTGAGATCCCCTTACCAGTCATCTTTAAACAATAAATAAAATAAAATAAAATGTCTTTTAAAGTTATTACTTTTTAAAGATAGAGACCTTTTATTGCTTTATATAATCACCTCTATACTTCTGTGTTTCGGGTTTCGTTTAGAAAGGTCTTCCCTTCCCACTGAGTGTAAAACTATTCACCCAGATTTTCTTCAAGTGCATTCATTTTGTTTGGGCTTTTATAGTTTATCATAATCCATCTGAAATTTAGTTTAACATAAGATAAGCAGGTCCATCTCTCATTTCTTCAAAAGGAAATCTCTCATGACCTTGGAAATTCCTCCACCTACCCTCAATCTCTTTCCATCTCAGCCAAGATTCTCAGAAAAGCAAAGGTTGTCCCTTTCTTCCTCTCTCATTCTCTCCCTGACCTTGGGCACTTGCTTTCCAACTGTGGCCTCTGAAACTGCAAGTTCTCTCATTAGGAAAGGCCTCTTTTTAAAAAAAAAAAAGATGACCGGTAAGGGGAATCTTAACCCTTGACTTGGTGTTGTCAGCACCACGCTCAGCCAATGAGCAAACCGGCCGTCCCTATATGGGATCTGAACCCGTGGCCTTGGTGTTATCAGCACCGCACTCTCCTGAGTGAGCCACAGGCCGGCCCTTTACGGGCAAGTTTTGCGTGGGATGCACAGAGGTCCAAGTTGAGGGTGGAGGGTTGGAAGATCTTCCCAAAGACCACAGAGAAGAGGGAAGTGGGCATTCTAGCAGGCGGGACCCCCGTCCGGGGGAGTTTGGTGTTGGGGGAAGGGTGTCACAGAGAGGGGACGGAAGCTGAAAAGAGGGCAGAGCCTCCTGGAAGATCTGCCTGAAGGGTGCCAGGACCTCCTGTCACAGCTGCCCTGCCTTTTCCAGCTCTTTCCTCCTTCCGCCTATCCCCAGCCTTTCCCCTAAGCCACTCACCCCAGGATCCTGGGGACCCTGCCCTCCAGTCCTTCATTCCCTACACCCTCCAGGCACCTGGCGACCCCGCAGATCACTTGTGCTTGCGAGCTGGGGGGCAGAGGAGTTTGGGCTCATTGGCTCCACGGAATTCACAGAGGTGAGTGAGCGAGACCCCAGGGCGGGGATCGACAGGGGTTCCTGCGGCGGGCAGTGCGGGCTGACGTGACCCTGGCGCCCGCAGGAGTTCTTCAGCAAGCTGCAGGAGCGCACTGTGGCCTACATCAACGTGGACATCTCAGTGTTCGGTATGGGGGGCGAGGACCGGGGCTGGGGCTGATGCTGAGGTGGTAAAGGAAGGGGCTGGGGCTTGAACAGTCTTTCTCTGCTCCTTGCACAGCCAATGCTACCCTTAGGGTGCAGGGGACGCCCCCTGTCCAGAGTGTCGTCTTCTCTGCAACCAAAGAGGTGGGAGGGGGTGGGGCCGTGGGGGGGCAGGGCTGGGGCGGGACTGAGGAGGGGACAAGCCTAGTAAGATCAGGTGGACAGTGGGTGGGCTGGAGATTGGGGTCTGGGTGGAGGACTTGCCTTGTTGTTGGGGCTGGGGAGGGGCCCGTCCCAAGGTTAGACCCCCCTCCGGGCTAGATCCGCTCACCAGGCACCGGTGACCTCAGCATCTATGACAACTGGATCCAGTACTTCAACCGCAGCAGCCCGGTGTATGGCATAGTCCCCAGGTGAGCTCAAGGAAAAGATGGGGGACCCAGGTGCGGCGAGCAGTCCAGCACCCTCCAGCTTGGTCCTCTTCCTTCCTGCAGCCTGGGCTCTCTGGGTGCCGGCAGTGACTACGCACCTTTCATTCATTTTCTGGGCATCTCCTCCATGGACATCGCCTACACCTATGACCGGGTGAGCAGGCGTCCATCCATCCCCCGCCCCGTACCTCGCTCTAGGAGCCCCCTCCTCTCCTTCTGGCTGCTCTAAGGCAGAGTGAATCCGTCTCCTTCACTCAGTAGCTTTGTTGCCTTGGCCAAGTTTCTTAACCTCTCTGAGCATCTGTTTATGCTCATCTATGTTATCAAATGTAAGATACTAATGATTGTAAGATGCACCTTTATGTTATGCACTATTGGGATGGAAAAAAAAAACCCCACTGCCAATCAGTTGTAGGATGACATTGACTATAAGAAGCATCCTGATTCCAGAGATCTTAAAACGTGGGGGGAAAATAAGTTTATCTCAACGTTGATTAAATAATGTTATGAAATGGGATGACCCACAGTATGGATGTGAGGGTGAAATGAGGTAAAGGAGCAGAGTCCTCAGCCTACGTCTCATTTGATGCTCCAAAAGCCCTTTCTCCACCTCTTGGCCACACTGTTTCAGGAGGGTGAAGCTGAGATTCAGTCCCCTCATCTGACTCCAAAGCCTCAGGCTCTTCTCCTTCATGTGAAACAGGAATCTGACACCTGACCCAGCTCTGCCACTTATTAGCTGTGTGACTTCTCTGAGCCTGTCTCCTCTGTAAAGTGGGGATTCTAGAACACACCTCATGGATGTGGCAAGGATCCAGTTGAGAGAGTGGCCACACATTGTAGCTCACTGTAGGTCCACCTTCTCCCACTTTCCATGCCAAGCCCACCTCTGGGCCTTGTTTCCCCAGAGCAAGACTTCAGCCCGGATCTACCCCACCTACCACACAGCCTTCGACACCTTTGATTATGTGGACAAATTTCTGGACCCTGGTGAGGAGGGAGACAAGGGTAATCCTGAGACTGGAAGAGGTTGAGCTGAAGACTGAGCCCTGGCCTTGTCACCCTCCCTGCAGGCTTCAGCAGCCACCAGGCCGTGGCCCGGACGGCAGGGAGTGTGCTTCTCCGGCTAAGTGACAGCTTCTTCCTGCCCCTCAATGTCAGTGACTACAGCGAGACTCTCCGCAGCTTCCTGCAGGCTGCCCAGCAGGACCTTGGGGCCCTGTTGGAGCAGCATGGCATCAGCCTGGGTACGAACACCCCCTGACATTGAGGCATGGGGAGCCTTGTGCCACCAGGGCTAAGCCACTGGCTGTTCCCCACAGGGCCTCTGGTGACCGCAGTGGAGAAATTTGAGGCAGCAGCTGAAGCCTTGGGCCAACACATATCAGCACTGCAGAAAGGCAGCCCTGAGTGAGCAACGGCAGTGGCCAGGTGTCTGGGTGGGCGGCATGCAAGGGAGGGTGCCAGGCTGGCAGCTGGGTTGCTGGCTCCAGGGTGACCAGCAGGTCCTGCCTCCTGCAGCACCCTGCAGGTTCGGATGCTCAATGACCAGCTGATGCTATTGGAACGGTCCTTCCTGAACCCACGAGCCTTCCCAGAAGAACGCTACTACAGGTGAGACTGACCCGAAGCCCCTGGGAAGTGCCTCCAGGTGGGGCTGGGCAATGGTCACCTGTCTGAGGGAGGAGGAACATGGCAGTTTCACTGTCCTTTTGAGCACAACCCAATTAAAAAAAAAAGACAGCACAGCCCAGCCCCTTGAGACAGTTGGGGAGGGGAGGCACCCGGGAGTGCAGGCAAATAGGTTAAGGGTCACCTACATCTCATCCCACCACCACTGCTGTAAGAGCCCCAGCTTTCAGACAGATGGAGGGGGTGCCATTGTGCCTAGCTGTGTCCAGGAGCTGCGTAAGTTCCAGGCTGAAGTTCCTCTTTCCTGGTCCCCGACTGACCCTGATCCTGCCTCATTTCTCCTGCCAGCCACGTGCTCTGGGCACCTCGCACTGGCTCTACAGTCACATTCCCAGGTCTGGCCAATGCCTGCTCCACTGCCAAGGACACAGACCCCGGATCTGAAGCTTGGGCTGAGGTACAGAGGCAGCTCAGCATCGTGGTGGCGGCCCTGGAGGGTGCAGCAGCCACCCTGAGGCCTGTGGCTGACCTCTGACCCCAGCTCTTTCTTCGGCTCTCCCTTTATCCTAACCCTCTCCCATCTGTTCTACTGGGGTGTGGCCCACCAGTCTTCCCTGATGCCGGGGGAGGGCACAACTGCGGGACCTCTCAAGCTTCTGAGGCAACAGCTTGGGGTCCCAGCGGTTGTGGACGCCTGAGGGCAGTGGCAAGCCTAAATGAGTGGCAAGCCTGGCTCTTGGTTGGCAAACGGTGGACAGCAGGAGACGGGGACAGTGGAGAATGACAAAACCCCCAACTGCTCTTGGTGGTGGGTGGGTGAGGATGGGATGCATAATGTTAACCTGAGATGTCAACTTGGAGATCACCAAAGCCATCCCTCAGAGACCAGCAAGGAAACTGAGGCCCAGACTGGATATGGCTTAGTCAGTCTGCATTCCTCTTCACCCATGCTCTTCGTGGGTCTCAACTCCCCACACACTCTCGCAAATAATCAATTTGATCCCTACAAAACAAGTTCTGTTTATTCTCTGGGAATCATGAAAAAAGAAACCTAAGTACTCTGACCCAGTCCTGGGGCTCTGGGAGACAGCACACTCTCTCCTCATGAGGGGGTCCTGGGTCTGTCCACACCCTCATCTTCCTCCTCTGCCATGACCACCGCCTCTAGGGTGCGCCCTCTAAGTTTGCTCCCCACCAACACGTTGCAGGTGCTGGGAGGTGGCAGCCCTTCCTCAGCATAGCGACCTCTCAGGAACACAACTCTCTCCTCTCCATCCAAGGGCAGCCGGTGGGCCTGGCACAGGTCCCGTGCTTCACTGGGTCCATCCAGGGCCAGCAGGCGGACCATGAAGTCCAGAGGCAAGGTCTGCCCCTTGGGGGTGCCCAGGGCACGAGCGAGGCGGGCCAGGGCTCCGCGGCGGGCACGGCCCACGTGGCCCTGCACGGCGCAGCTCTGCAGGTAGGGCAGGGTCCGGAGCAGGCGGAACAGGCGGGCAGCGTTGCCCTCCCGGAAGGCGGCATCGACTGCCAGGGCTGTGCGCAGGGGCGGGCAGGCGCGCAGGGCAGCGGGCAGCTGCAAAACCTCATGCAGGGCTTCCACAGAGCCTGCGATGACAAAGCCGGGGTGAGGACGCCTGGTCCTTACTAGGTCAGGCCCACCTCCCATCCCATCCCCTTGGCCCCTGGGCATCTCCCCTCACACCCGCTCCTGTCCTCAGCCACGCCCATCTCCTCTGGCCCTTAGCCAAGTGCATCTCGCGACCTCGGCCCCATCCACCTCCCGCTATGGTCCCATCCACTCCTCCCCCAGGCCTAGCCCACCTTCCCACCCCCCTTCCGAGAAGTAAGACCCTGCCGTCAGCCGCTTCCCTGATCCACATCTGAAAGCGCTGCCAGAGGTTCCTGGCCTCCTTCAGTCTAGATTCTTCCAACACTGAAGAAGGGGGCAGTGTTGACACAAGAAGGAAAGCAGGCCCAGGTAACAATGACTTGCCTGAGTAAAGCCTGCCCCCAATCCAAGCTTTCTGACTTGGATTTCCCACTACTCTGGTTGCCCCACACCCACAATTTTGGGAGCCGGCTCTGCCACACCTTCCCGTCCGCCTGGGAAGGCCATTTCTTCCGCAGACTCTGCCCTGCTTGCTTTCCAGGATAGTCAAGGACACTGGAATATTGTACCACTTTTGTAAACTGGAGCTTCTGACCCATTAGTGGGTAGTGAAGTCAACAGTATTTTATTACAATTAAATGTAGTAGAACTTAGAATATACACCCATAGGAAGGATCTAAAGTCTTGAAACTTCTGTCTCAGGTATATTTGTGGGCAGATGCGTTCTGAGTTGCTTTGCAACACCGACTGGGAGTGGAGGTTTAAAAAGTTGAAAAATCACTCCCGATCCAACCCCGCCTCCATTTTTATTACTGAGAATGCCCAGTGATGGGAAGGGACAGCCCGAGGTCCCACGCCAGGGCTTGGTGGATCCTGTGACTTTCCCGGGAGAGCTAAATGGCGAGATTTTAAAGCTTTTTCCTTCCCCTGCCTTCACTGTCCTCATAGAGGGCTCCCCAACCCCACGCTCCGCCTCGCCGCCGGGACCCCGACTCACCCAGGTTATAGAGCAGAAAGAGGCCCTGGAAGGAGGCCTGGCGGGGGTGCGGCCCTGCGCCCCGCGCGTAGCAGCGCCGCAGGGAGCCGAAGCTCTCCTGCACCTGGGTCTGCAGCAGCACCGGGTCCGCGGGCCCGTGCGCCGCGTGGGACCCAAGCCGCGCCACCACGGCCAGCAGCGTGGCCAGCGCCGCCTCCAGCACCACCGCTGCCTTGGCGTCG